GGGGGGAGGGGGGAGGGGGGGAGGATAGAAGCAATGACGACGAACAACACGAGGTACTCGTGCGAGTCGAACACGAGGTAAAAGAGACGTCTTGCCGACGTTGTGCAGGAGCGGAGCAGTACACGCATAGGTGGAGCGGAGCGTAGGTAGATCACAGGTGGATTGAGAAAAGGGGGAGGAGGGAGTGCATCTGACCATGCAATATTCGCCAGAGCCTGGCTTCCGTATTCTCCCATATGCGTTTCCACTCGATTGGCAAGCCAAACCACGGCCGGATTGCGGCGGAGGACTGCCTTGTCGTTGCTTTTCCACGACCTGGCAGCCTTTCCCACCCTGTGAAAAGCCGTGCTGATCTCAAAAGGCGACATTTGGTCTTTCTCCTCCCTTATCAGCCGAAGTAGGTGGGGCACTGACCAGGAAGCCTTCACGATCTTCATCACTTTTTCCTTGACGATGGGTGTGATCACCTGCCTCTTCTCCCTGTAACTCCTTTGTGGAGGGGAAGACTCGTTGCTAGTAGACTCCACCTCCTCCGTCTGTCGATGTCCACCACCATCTCTACCCTCCCTTGTCCCCTCTCTCTTCCTATGCCCTCCTCCCTCCCTCCTCCTCCGCTCTTCTTCGCCAGCTGGCGGCTTTCCTGTCCTCTCCTCCTTCTCCTGATCCTTCTCTAAATGCCTGCCCGTGCTACTAGTCGTACTCTTGGAACGTTCCCGTTTGCTTCCGTCCTCGCCGCTCACCGGGCCTGCCATCTCCGCGCCAAGCTCAGATAAGCCAATATCGGGTACATGTCCTCCTTCCCCGTCGGCGTTTCCCACTGTCGGTAGCGTGCCAGGCCCATCCACCTCTCCCGCGGGGTTCTCTTCCATCGACAGATCGTCTCCGACCTCTCGTACCCCTACTCCAATGACGGCAACGTCCGATCGACCGTCGTTGCCTAGGCGTCGACGGTCGGATTGGTCGTTGACATTGATTAGCGAGGCTTCTTCGGTATGAGTGCTTAGGCTCATCGGAAGGAAGGTGCTGTCTGTGTGTGTCTGCCGCCCTCTCCCCGCGAGCTGTCGGCGGCGAGGATTTCGATCGGTAATCCTGCGCTGCGCCGACGGATCGGGATTGCGGCGCTGAGCGCTGCCGTTGCGCGGGCGATCCCATCGCTTCCGCACATCCTCCGCCGAGCATGTAGGGGTCGGTTTGGCGCGCAGTTGCCGATGGCGCGGAGGGAGATGAGGAGGAGCACGGGCATCGCGCAGATAACAACGCGATGAGATCGACGGCTGGCGAAGGCCGGGAGAGCCGGCGCTGTGAGGGGGGGAAGAAGAGAGAGGGAACGACGAGCGAATGCGCTGGCTCCGCGGAGCAGCGCCGACGAACCCGTAAGATTCTCGGGCTGGAGTCGCCGCCGCCGCCGTCGCCGTCGCTACCGTGGCGGCATCCTGTAGAGTGCGACATGTGCGACAAAGCCAGACACATGGCAGGAGGGTCAGCCGGCTGGCGTTAGCGGCGCAAGATGGGGAAGGCAAGCGGGGGCGCAAGAGCGCGCGCACATGGCAATCGGTCTCCGGCCGCGCGGAAAACAATCTCTTGGCGGGAGAGCCATCGATACCGGCGACGGCGGGAGGAAGAAAGCCTGCGGATGGGGAAGTCGAGGCGGCGACGTGGACTCCTGCGCGCACTCGGCCAGATGCCCCCGAGGAAGAGAGGAGCTTGTCACATCCCCTGACACCCATTAACATAGCACGTTGTCTGGGTGATGGACAAGGAAAGCCATGTGTGTGACATTGCGATCCCTGCTTCCGATTCACACCCTGAGAAAGGAGATTACACGCGCTGTTGGTGGCAGCCGCCGCCTGCGTTCCTGCACCTGCTGCGGCCATGCTGTACCGCGACTGCCGACCAATCTCACGATCAATTGATCAATCGGCCCAATTGGTCACTCGTCCATAACCCATCAATTGATCAATCAGCCCAATTGATCAGTCGTACATAATCCATTGATTGGTACCGATAATTAACATGGAAGGCTTGTCAAAGGTTATGGTTATGCGATCCTTTACACTCTTACACTGATTAGCACCCCATGCATAAAAAAGAGGGGTACTCAGGAGCTAAGGATATCAAGAAACGCTAATAATGATTCGAAACAGAGAGAGGCTAATAATGATTCGAAACAGAGACAAGGGAGGGACAGTCATGCAATTCGGCAGAGCTGAACAGTAGGAAACGAGGTAGCAAAAGAGAGAGAGAGAGAGAGAGAGAGAGAGAGAGAGAGAGAGAGAGAGAGAGAGAGAGAGAGAGAGAGAGGTATCTGCGGGGCTATCTGAGGCAGTAGTGGCGATGCATCATCGTCGTTGATCATGTGAATGGACGGCTGAGATTGCTCCTCATATCCCGCTCGCCATCTACGTGCTTACCCGCCGGCGAACACCATCTCGGCGGGTTCTTCGCTTGCAATTTTAAACGGCGCCTTTCGCCGACAGAAGGGTCAATCGTAATAAGGAAACTGGGTCTCATTCTAAACACGGCAAGTACTTTATGTCATCTTGGAACCCCCATTGGTACTGGTCCCGACCTCTTCGAGTCTCTGGCCTGCGGCAGCGCATGGTGTTTCTTCTTCCCCCCCTCGGTCCGTCCCTCGGTCCGTATACCTGCTCATCCATGTCCCGCGTGATTAACAGCGATCGCCAGCCTGCCTGGTCAGTCCTGATCCCGCCTCCTGCTATTTGCTCCCGTGCTCCGTTCCATTCCAACCCCAACCCCATGAGCTGACGGATGGACGCAGTAGCAGTAGTGAGCGCATGCAGTAGTGAGGGCATACTCCGACTGTCACAGTCTCTTTACGCCATCGCTTTCCAGCTCAGCTCGGCTGACAACGTCCGGCTGGACATCGGGCCTCGGCGCACCACTAAACGCACGTACCAAATGTGCAAAAGAAAGCATGAATCTTCCCATAAAACATGCAAAGATTCACCCGTCATAGCTTTTGTCTTTTTCATATTTTCATATTTTGGTGACTTGTCCGGCGAGGCCCACCGTACTCCGGTCCGGTCCCTTCAACTGGAGGCTCCCATCGACCGGCGCTTTCCGGATAAACCGCCTGCGCTGCTACATGTTCGGCTATCGCTTGCGCACTGGGGTGAGGTCCCACTTAATTACTGCTACTCATTTATTTGCGACTGTTTGATTTGATCCCGGCCGTAGATCACGAAGATCAATGGTCAGAGACGAAGAATCCAGTCAGTGTAGGTAACGTAGGCCTCTTTTCTGCTTGGAATAAATGATTTTCTGTGAAAAAAAAGAAAAGAAATCGGCCCTGGGTTGCCCGTGTACGCCACCTCATTCGTGATAGTATGCAGGAGCCTGTAAATAAGAAGTGGAATTCAAGGGTGGAAAAAGTGAGACCGCAAAAGGAAGTTGATTGAAAGTCTGGCAATCCGAAAATGACCGAATTGCCCTGAACCTTGTGATAGCCTCCGTTATTACCCTCGAAAAGTGGCTCTGTGGCCATTTCCTTTTTCTTTAGACCTGTGCCCTTCTCACAGAATCGGGGGCCACTCAAAAAATAAAAATATCCTGGTACACCAACTGGCCTATCTCAATTGGTGGCACACCCATGGACTGTTAAAAATACACGCTAAAGTTCGAATCCACCCACTGTCAGATGAACAGAACAGATTAAAATCATTCTTTGGAAAGCAAGAAAAGGGAAAATTTGCCTGGCGCCCCTCTAATTTCCATTATTTTGCACTGCGCACCTCCTGGACCACTTACCCTGTGGTCCACCCTGTCAGCAAGGGGCGCAGCTCTCCGCGGTGCCCTTACTGGACGGCCAGTCCCATCTCACCAGTCCCTGCGTGATATGCCCTCATGAGCGGCATGCATCTTTCGGTCATGCCCTTGCACCGGTAATTCGGATTTGAAGCACGTGGTTTTTGTGGTGCTGCTGCAGAAAATGACCGTGTGTGTGTGTGTGTGTGTGTGTGTGTGTGTGTGTGTGTGTGTGTGTGTG